GCTGCCTCGGTTAAATATATATATATAATATATATGTATTAATATATTTTATGTGAAACGTTATTACCTACCTACATAATATGTTTAAACTTTAGAGAGGCATGTAAGATATATAAGTAGTGCCAATAGTTTACGTTGGTATCAGTATATATATAATATATATAGTATATATATATATAATGTATTGTAAAGTATGTACATAATATAATACAGGCTATATAAACTTACATGAACATCGGATATACGAATTCCAATGAGCGATGATGGACCATATTAGACCATTGCCATCTGTATTTTACCTTAGGGTTTTTACATTTTTTTTTTTTTGCTGGGTTTTTTTTTTAGCAACCAATGAATCAACAGAGATTTATTGTTTCGGTCGGGCGATACGCTCACCCTTYTGTTCATATAATACACGTTTACTGCACCGACTGCAGAGGATGGGAGGTCGATTTCGACCGATCAGTTTCGGTACCGTCGCTGCCACTGCCAATGAATGTGCGGTGGTGTACGAATATATATATATATATGCGATGGCGGGTGGGCCGGGGATAGTATTTGCATGGAATACACATTAAGGGCCGCGCGCCGGCAGAGATAAATGTACCCCTTCTGTGAACGCAATGGTGGTGGTGGGTACTACTCCCCCACTCGTCCGTTCGCAGACAAATAGCTCCTGGTGGCGGCGCGCGCGTTCATGAATTAAACAAAGAAAACCAACGACGACGACGACGATGACGACCGGGTGAGAGGGTACAAAGGAGAATAAATTGGTTTTTTGGTTCTACAAAAACCGCCCGAAATATATATACATATAATTATATATAAATATATCTGTGTGAACTCGAGATGAGGTGAATAATTGCGGTACTCGGTCGACTTTAATGGAATCGGTTTTAATTATTTCGCCACTGTTGGCGTCGGTAGCGTAACTGCATATTTATTATAATATATATATATATATATACGTATCATATATAAACGAATATACGATGTTGATAAGAAACCGCGAACGCTCTAATATACGTATATAATAATATATATTCTCGAAAGTTTAAAACGTTTTGCATATCGCTAGATTTGACTTTCCTAAAGAGTTTTATCCATTTTCGTTACTTACTCAGGTCTCTTCCCTCGTTTGTTAAGACCATAATATATTTAATTTGTACTCTCAGMGAGTCTACACTCTACAGCTCAACGTACACACTACACATCACGATATAGGTACCTATACTATTTTATGACACTACATAATTTAATATTATTATTATTTCTGTTCTTAGCATAATTTTGATTAATTTGCAGCAAATCGGCACCATAAATTGGGGTGACTTGGGTAATAATAAAGTTTTTACTAATGCAATTAAATATTTTGTCGATTCCATTTTCTCATAATATTTTGTACTTAAACGTTAAAACTTATGAGAAATTTTTCATGGCTCAATCTCATTCAATGTCTGTCGCTATTATAATAGCGTCATGTATCGATGGAAAAATTAATCGATTAAATATATTTTTTGAATTAAAATACCATTTACAATAATATACTGAACTGAATTTATAAAAATGAACTATTGATATTTCACCATAGTTTTATTTACAACAAATTATTCTATTGCGTCTACTTCTTTAGTTCATTTATTAGAAACAAATTAATTAATTCTATACTAATGTTGTTACAATATAGCGTAGTATTATATAAAAGGATAAATAATAATATCAATAGAACCTATCTATGAATTATTAATGACAGCAATATCATCTATGGTAGTAATTGATGTATTAGAGCTGTCAATGTAATAATGATATACGCATACATAAACGTATAATAACTAATAAACATCAAGTTTATCCTTTTATTTAATTTTGAAAAAATGTTTGTCATCGTGTTTGAAATTTAAATTTAAGTTAACCGTGACTATATCATAAATGCATACCTAATTTTATTATTTAGAACAGCCCTATTACATACAACAATTACATTAAAACACGATGCACTGTCTTTAAAATATTATCATGTTTATTTGTAATTAAATACGACTTTGACATGCAGGGTAACAATTTATTTTATTTATGTTGATGTAGTTATTAATCTAGTTCAAATAGATAAGTAGATTTAAATCGCATTTCATCCGAATAAATATGTTACGGGCAATGTAGTAAAATAGGGCACTATATTAAAATACCTGAGCAATATATAATATTCTTGCACAATTTTCAAATAGCTCAAACATTCGGGGCATTCTATACAATGCTAGGGCAATTGATATATAGTACTCTGAATTTTTTGCCTTATTTTACTTTATTTCCCGTAACATATTATACACTATATTTGTATTCCATTGATAAATATTTAACAGATACCTAATACAAACTTACATATTATTTAATTACACCTATACATAGATTTTGCTTTTGTTAAAATATGTCTTTAGTATAACTCATATTTTAAATTTTAATAATTTTTATCAATGGTCGTGATATTATTACTTCGGTGTCTATGATTTAACTGTCTATAAATTATTTTATTATTTACATTCTTTTGTAGTTATATGTTTGAGGACTCGGTTTTGCGTAGGCGTGCTGCCATTATTATAATATATAATCTACATTATTTATTTAATTAGTTAATTAAAAACGAACATCTCAAACTTGAGTCTGAGACACTGTAGATATTCCAATTATAATGGAGATGGACGGATAGAGATGGAGTGAGAAAATAACGTGTCGCGTGTCTGAATAATAACGAGCTTATAGGAGCAACAAGTATATATACAGACGACGCAGCTGATTACTGATAAATATATGCGTAGTTGGAATTGGAAGAAAAAACGGCCAAATTATCGATGAACCACTTATTAATTCAAAGTAGTTATGTATATCTTATAATAATGCTTTTAAAAAACGTTCTGATTATTTATATTTTGTACACATATTATAGTGAATACCACCCGCGTATTTATTGTATTTTTTTAATCCAAGTGTTTCGTGACCTCTACCTTTAGTGCATATATATTATATACATTATACTTTTTTGGGATAGTGAAGTACACTTTTCCCGACCGTGACTGAGGAAGTTTCCGGCTATACATTACGTAGATTTATTGCCCAAGTTCATGTGACAGGTTAGAAAATTGTCCTCAGCGAAAAGGAGAAAGAGAAAAAAAGAGAAATATTCTAGACGTCTCTGCAATTAAAATAAATAATTTACTGTTTTTTCGTATATACCTCATCATCAAACAGTAGCACCTATTCTTAGTGTTGCGATGGATTTGATTATGGGTTTTGTGATTCACAAAGTAAATTTAAAACGATTTTTGAATTAAAAAACTATCCAAATAAAAAAATTACGTGTCGAGCGTGATGGAATGCGAAGTAAACGAATTAACCATAAATAACGCCATATACTCTTCGCTGACACCATATATTATCATATGACATGTCGCTTGTAAAACTTACTAGTAAATGTCTCCCATTAATATGACACATAAATGTCGACCGTTTTATTATTTATTTGCATACCTACCTATAAAAGCATTATGATATGCATGAGGAATCGTCAACGAATTGTTTTTTTAATCGTTTATACGGTTGAACTTTTTTCAAGTGACAAATAGTAAGCACGATATACCCTTATGAATTCAAAATGTTATTTATAAAACTTGTGCAAAAATAAAATTTTAAAAAATTCTTACATTCAAACATTTTATTTGAATGGATATTATATAGGTATTATATAATTTGTATATTATTATACAATTTAAAATAAACGCCAGAAATTTTTATGATATTTTTTCAAAATGTATATTATCAACATTAGGTATAAAAGAACATAATATTAATGTTGCTTGTTGAATTATTTGATATAAAAGGCTGATAATTTTTTAATTTAACCCTTCGCTAATAAACCTGATATTATTTTTAGTTCCATACTGCGTTATGGTCGTTATATGTACTGTGTATGTTTAATAATAAATAAAATATTATATTTGATTTTTATACCGATGCATCAATACATTACAGTCTATATTGCGCAAAACCGTATTTGGTATAGGTAATCGCTATAGTATTACATTTTTAACCGTTTTCCATCACAACTGACTTAATTCCAAGGCCATGCCATTGAAACTACCAATTTGAACAATGGTTCTTTCAGTTCATGGGTTTGATTTTTTTCTTTCTTTGGCGAATAATAAAAAAAAAAACTGTTTTGGATTTGTTTGCAAACATTGCGTACCCGGCAAAGTGTACTATCTTTAAGTGTCGAAAACAAATTTCACGGTTCGTTAGTGGGATACATTTAGTTTCGGATATAGATCATCCCCAGGCGACAGCAGAACGAATTTTCGAAGTTATTTTCGTATATGTTTCCAATGTGGGTGGTTTTACATTAATTGAATTATTCTAAAAAAAAAAAAAACAATTACTATATTGAGCACTGGTGTGGGCTCAGCCCTCGCACATAATATTTAGTTTATATTTTTAAATTTTTTTATCTCAACGATACGGATGTGACAGCCTAAATAACCATAACGTCAAATGCAAATTGAAAATCCTCTTCGTGGGACACACTAAATAGTCGCACTAAAAAAGTGTTAAGATACAGGATTCTTAGGATTAGCGCGTAGGCTATAATAACGGAGTGTAAAAAAAAATTAATGAATCCGTCCTAGGCCATTAGGCAAAAACGTCATTACGTGCCGTTTTTGTTTATCTCCTAGGTACTTCGGCTAGACAGTGGACGTTCTGGCCATGGAAAATATACAAATTAAATGCGTTTTCATTAATTAATTTTTTTTTGCCGTCCGTCAAAACACATTTTACGATATTTTAGTCTTTAAATTAAAAACCTAATATTAGGAATTATTATTTAATATTATAATATTAAGACATAGGCCATCAGACACATAGAATAGAGTTAGGTACTCTGTACAAAACAATCGCAGCGAAATAAATAAAATAATAATAAAAACTTACCTCTGCGATATTTTTTTTTTCAGATCCAAAATCGTCTGTGTCCACGGAGCACTAAATCGACGTACACGAAAAAGGTGAGTACACTTACATAACATTACTGTTACTGGCACCCCGTGTGTGCGTGCGTATCCCATCATAAGACGATTTCGGGTCCCTTTCCCGGGGAAAAAAAGAAAGGAAGGGACCGGCCATACTCCACATAAATGAGACAGATTTTATGACCTAGTTTTTATGGACCATGTCACATTTAACCATTGACTACACCGGCCACCTGGATGCAATATACACAGCGTGTGCATGCATGCACGGTTGCGCCACAAAGTGCGTAAATCGAATTCAAAAGAAACGTTCGTATCTTTAATATGATGTCTGTCGTCGTTGTAGTTTTGTGTCCAACCTCTCCTTATACCGGTTCGGTTTCCTTACCCCCATTATAGCGTTCGGMTGGAGTCGTGCAATGTATATAACATATAAAGTACCAACGCAACTACACGCGACCCGATCGACTGATAACGGGCAATAATTGTCCAATAGATTAGAAAGGCAGGTGCTATTATACAATTGGAATAAACAATATTATATAGTTAATACAGTTAATATTAATATTAATATAGTTAATATAGTTATTTACCTACCCTATATAATAATGCAAATTACTTGAAAAATTAAATAAATATTATAAAAGTYGTGTATAAGATACAACTACGTTTTTACACTCAAAATTCGTATTGTAAACACGTCTTAACGGATCAATAATCATAATAATGTCTTTTTTACATAAAATTATTACAATATTGCGCAACTTTAGTTAGGTACTCAATTATTAAATATATTGTTTTTTTTTTTCAAACGTTACAATAATTTAACTGTAAGTGATAGTTTATGGCAAACGGTACGATTTAATAAAATAATAATTAATATAAGGATAATATATAATCGTAAACCAGAGGCATTTTATTATTATTAATAATAATAAAACTGATGACATTTGTACGTAATTACTAATTTCAGTATAGTATTCATTGATATATATATATATATTATTAAATATCTATTATGAACTATATTAATAGATGTATAGCTTTCGTTTTTAATTGTCCATTATGATTATTGTCATCAAGTTATAGGTTGTCGTCAAATTTTGAAGATTTTTAATATATATATATTGAGTCACTGTATGACTGTATATTAATGTGGTGTTGACTTAATCGTATCATCACGTTATCGGCAAAACATTTTCTTATACATTATGTACCTCTGTTCTCTACATAAAGTTTGCACGGACCAAATGTGTATATTTTTTTCGCATAATCGACGACATTTTCAAATCAGCCCGTTTTCGTTGGTGAATGATTGCAATGTGCTCACCCTAATACCGGTTTTTTTCGATTTCCGAGGGTTCTCTCATCCCCTATCGCAGCTGCAAGTTATTTTTTAATGGCCTCTTGTCTACAGCCACCCCCAAGGACAGCCCATTCGTTTGCCATACACAGTTGCCATGATCATATTTTGCAACCGATCGTCAATAGATCTATCGCCTTTTCCGCTCGCGGAGCGAATCATTTATAGTGTAGCACGCGCGCTAAAAGTTATCAAAAGTTATTTTGTATTAAATATTTTTATATATGTGATATTTAAGTTTTTATTTAGTTTATTTTCTTTTATATATTTAATAATAAAATGTTCGCGTTTCGGGTGATAATTAGTGATGTGCCTATAAATATCTTGTCTTTTGGATAATTAATACAGATCTAGATGTCTTTTTTCTTGAATTAAAGGTAATCTATAAAAAAATATTTGCAACTATATTATTTATTTATTAGAGTATATCATGCGGTATATATATAATATATATGTTTTATTTGCATTTTCTTTTGGATAAAAATAACTATCAATGACAGAATTTTTAATATTATGATGATTTTGATGAATTTATAGGATTTTTTAATTTTTTTTTTTTTTTTTTTTTATATATTATTCATATTATATCAGAATTTTTTACCCAATTTTTTCCCAAATTTTTTTTTTNTTTTAAATTAATGAAAAGGCTTTTTAATATTTATATTACCTGCATTATTATAAAATATTCTGCTCTATAGCTTTTGCGTTGTTTTTATTATGTATAAAAATTATCAAGCATTGACTTATATTTAATTAATCGACTAATAAATTAATAAAATACTTAATTCTGAATATAGATAATATAATATTATAGTTAGATATAATAATAATCATAATAGTTTATTAAAATTGGTAATATTGTACTGTAGATTCTTTTATCGTAAGCAACATTCTCTAATTATTCTGTCAAACTTACCAAATACCTTTTCAGCCTTTAATATAATATAATTTTGTTTCTATTATACTCGAATATTATGCCTATTTTCAGTGAAAAATCCTTAAAAATAAATTAACTATAAAATATAATAGTATAAATAATATTTAACAATCAATATTAAAATTAAACCAGTTTTATAGAAATCAGAAAACTATTAAAATAACATTTAATTTATAAATGATTTAAACATATGAATAATACCTATAAGCTTGTTTTGCTTGATAAATAAATGTATCCGAGGTATTTATAATTTGTAACGTGAAGAAATGTATAAATAAAAATTATGATACCTAGTTTACGTCTCCAATTTTTTATTTTTTAACAATAATTAGTGAGTTTGATTATTATTCAGTTAAATTTATTTTAGAATTGTACAGCATTAATCGTTCTCAAAATAGTTAATGCTATTATAGCAGTTTGTGTACATAGGTACTTATGATAATTATTGATATTAACGACTAATGTTTAAACAGCATTTTAAAAGTAAACAGAAATCAGAAATATTTAAGTGCAGTGCGCAAGCTGAACATGATTGAATGCCGGCTGATAAACGTTATTTAGAAATGGCATTTATATTATGTTGAACGCGCTACAATGTAGCGGAAAGCACCGCGGTATGTTTTAAAGTCTATATAAAAATCCTGCACGACCTTTGAACTGCAACTGCAGTAATGCTGTATACCTATAGCTATATACACTTCGGACCTAATATTCTGATCGACAGCCGTCAAATGCGCGTATATAGGGCATGTATATACAATGTATTTCACCCCGTGTGTCCAGTGAAATGGAAAATGTGTGGCGGTTATCGATAGAACTTCGGCCGAGGGTATTAAAAGGGTTGCATACTCGGTGGTAGCACTATGTATGGTGGGCTCATGGAGCGTATTCTCGTATTAATCTTATGGCTCTGCGTGCCATTTGCTGCTGCATAATATAGAGGCCACGATATTCTATATATACAGTATACATTTATATATATATAATATGCTATACGTTGTATGCGTGTGTACATGTATATATATATATATATATATATATATATGACTGGAGGTTTCCGTGATTAAATGTTGAATAATTTAAATCCTCTTCGAATATTATATATGTGTGCTGTGTGGCGTGCATAAGCGTATAATCTGCGAGTGTCGGGAAGTCGGACGGGGCAACGGCGACAGCCGAATACGCAAGCGCACGTGTGTGCGTGTGTATGTGAAAGGGTTAAGAGCTGAGAGGGAAAGGCCAATGGGATTTATTAGCCTGTAACACGTGTACGACGAAATCTTCTCTCCTCGTATATATTTATAGTAGGCACACTATACAGTTATGTATGTAGTGTGTGTGTATACGTGAGCATTGGTGGCAGTCGTGGTTAGGATAAATTCGCTTCGTACAAACGCACACACGCACGCACACATGTGTATATATATATTACGCACATACAATACAAATTATTTCAAACGCGCCGGATGTGTTTGATTTATATTCGTATGTGTATATGTCGTACATAATATATATTAAAATAGGTAGGTATATCAATGTATATATATTATTCGACTATTCGAGCGTGGGGAGAGAACTTCGCGCGCACATGCGACAAACGCGCGGCCGACAAGTGCAAGTGTGGAAGCACATCGGAAAATTCGGAAATCGTAATAAATTCTTTGACCACAGGGCTGAAAAAAGTGTAAATATATTTTGCGACGCTTAATATGTGCTCGTTAAAACATTACCTAACACTTAACAGTTCTTATATCCGATATAACTATATATTTTTACAAGAATATTATCTTCTCATTTGTTAAAAATATTTTGAACTCCTCTGAAATTGTGTATTATATAGCGTTTCGTCCAGAGGCTTTTAATTATTGTTCCCCGCTCTCACAAATCCATTTCACTACACACGCGAAGACTTATGCTGACTTATATACCAATACACAGCGCAGTATATATACCTACAGACTATATACACTGCTGTGGTGCATTTATATAATATAGGCGCTATATACACTATTGCGAACGCATGTTATAAATAATATATATATATATTTGTATATAAATACGTAGGTATAAAACACATGTATATACATTCTTCGGGAGACGCCAAGGTCAGACGAAAAAAATATACTAACTCCCTAACGATTCCCACTGGCAGATAACACACCGTATTTTATAATAATATTATAAACTCGTATATAATAATATGAAAACTGGTCCTAAAACACGACTGCATATCGGACGGGGTATTTGTGTTGCATGTGTACACGTATTATATTGTAGGTACCGTGTGTGTTGCAGTAGAGGATTTGTCCGACGACTGTTCGGCGACGAGGAGAAGGCGGGAACGAGAGCCCCCTGCAGTGGGAGGTTGTGTGCAGGCCGCAGGTAGACGAGATAGGTCAAAAGAAAAAAAAACCACAAAGAGTATAGAGAAAGCCCTTTCTTTTCAAAGACCCATCGCGAGTCGTCGTGTTCGTCACGGGGATTCGTATACGATACATAGCTGGTCGGAATTTCTCGGAGTATAGAGTGAAAGAATCGCACGCGCCCGCCACACAACAATGTCATGTTATACCATAGGCACCGATATACAATATATACATTGTATACGTCCTTGTTTTGCGTATTTTTTTTTTTTATTTTTTTTTTTTTCAATTCAATTCGAAACAAAAACGTTCGATTCTCGACATAGGTATATCGACATTACTATTTTGTGCGACTTTTATCGAAAACAGCGCA